ACCGAAACCGCCGTCGGTCGTTTGGAATAGGCGGCGCCGGGAACATCCGTACGCTCATTCACACCCCTCCCTAATGCCGGTGAAATAACTACCGGACTGGCTGACCAACTGCCACGCAGGTTCGCATGCCGAAGCAACGATAGCCGAGACCGAGTTCGACGGCCAGCAGCGTCGCCGTAGCAGCGTCTGGAGTACGTCCAGCTCCGCCTCCAGCACGTCCAGGCGCGCCAAGCTCTTTGGTTCCGTCAAGAATCTCTTCTCGAGGAGTCCACCAACGACGGAGGATAAAGAGGAGGACATGTGATAAACCCCTGGAGGGTGGTCGGTCGATATCGTGAGTAATGCGGGAGGAGTTGGCGTATTGGGGAAAATGTCCATGTCGATAAGAGATACCAATGCATTATTGTTCGCAACATTGTCCAGCCCGGTCGGTGCTATGTGATCTTGAGCTCAACAGAAGTGCAGTTGCGGCCATTGATAGGCACTGTTGAACCGCCATCGGTCGACAGGTCCAACTGTATCCCGCATGCTAGCCAGTGGGTTGCGGGGTTCGTGGTGTTTGCCGCGCAGGAAAGCATCCCGCTCCCCTTGGAACACGTCACAGCTGCGTAGTCACCATTGAGCGAATCGAGCGTTTGGCGTCGCAGAAGCCAGACATCACTGCTTGGATCGTGTATCCCGACGGCTCCAATGGACGGATGATCGTCTTCGTCGGAATATCCAACCACACATAAGTGACCGGTAGCTTCCACGCTGAACTGGCTGGCCGACGAACGACTGTTTGTGAACAGCACGCTGTTGCCAACGAGATTGAGAAACCAGCCATCAAATGTACCACCGGGCTGAGCAATCTGCACCGCAAACGGAGAAACCGTCTTCCCGCAAGTCGTATCAATAGTGGGCGTCGGGGATGATGTCGGTGTCGATGTGGTGTTGTGCCATCTTGGTGTCGTGGTATTTGCGGTATGCGTCATGTTTGGCCACCGGACCGATGTAGAGTTGAACGACGTCGTTGGAAAGTGCGTCGTATTGGGCCAATGGAAGCTTGTTGTGTTGAGTGTCAACGTTGGCATCGACGAGTTTGACCAAATGGGGTGCGTGGTGTTCGTCAACGTCTTGCTCGGGAATCTCGTTGTCGAGTTCCAGTAAGAGGGCCTGGTGGTGTTCAGCGTCGCCGATACTGTCGAGTTCCAGTGGAATCCAGTCGTCCCATTTGCGCTCGTCGTGGTGATTGTAGACGAATTTCCCCAAGGCGGTCCAGACGTCGTGAGCACCGTTGTCGAGCTTATCACGTATATGGTGGTGGTCGAGTTCGTGAAAGGGGCCGATGAGGTGCTCTTTGCCGTGGTCTGCGTGGAATTCGTGAAAATCGATCCTGTCGTCCGACTTGTCGACGAGCTACTGTGCGACCCCGACGATTCCGTCGAGGAGGTGCTATGTAGGCTCGAACTAGTGGAGGTCGATGATCTCGATGCCGTAGTGTTCGTCGAGGAGCTCGTGCCGTTGAGGGTACGTGAAGTGGAGGTGATGACCCCCGTTGTCTTCGTGACGGTCACAGTTTTGGTTGTCGTTTTCCCGGGCGCCGTTGTTGTCGCATGAGACACGCGGAGGCATGAACAGGCAGACGAGTAGGCGCCCTTGGCTGAGCACTTGGAGGCGTATGGCGGGATCGACGTCGGGCTGGCCGTCACCTGTCGCTCCTCGAGCGCGTGGTATTCCGGCCCATCAAACGCCTCATATTCGACTTCGCGGGGTACATGATGTCTCGGAGGCTTCGGAGGCCCTTTCTTCGCCGGTATGGTCGAGGTTGTTCGGGTCGAGGTCGAGGAATGTCGTGTTGAGGACGAGGAAGAGCGGGTGGTTGTCGACGAAGGTTTGGTGGTTGTGGTAATTGTCACCGAAGTGGTGATTGTCCTAAAAGGGGCATTGTTAGCAGCTAGACACAACAGGAAGGAGTCAGCCTTACCTCGTCGCGGGTGTAACTGTGACTCGAAAGAAGGAAGAACAATCCGCAGGGCCATTTCTGCCCTTTCCAATTGACGTGACGGCTGCGGTTGAAGTTGTCAGCAACATCCCCACCAAGACCCCGCGATCGCGCTAACGCAGGACCGTTACGGAACTTACCGCGGAAACACGCATCGGTCGAACACTTGGCCGCGACAACTCCTTCCAACGCAAACAAAATCGCGCCCAGTGCCAGCCGACACCGCATTTTGCTACTCGGTCTTCCCTCTGTCGCAAATCATCGCGACACGCGTTGAACGGGGCGCTCTGCTTTTATTGCTTATCCGGTGACAGGCACCTCGATATGGCGGCACAGCTCATTCCAAAAAACCGGTTATGGGGTGGTAACAGCATTAACCGCCCTGGCACTCCCCTGGTCCTTAATGCCATTTTATTTATTGTTCCTAGATAACCCTGTCGAATCGGCCTTGGAACCGATTTCCATCGCTCTTGGTGCGCCAATTCGAAGCCCATATCGAGATTGATGATATCAAGCAGGACGCGGAGGTGAGGTTGATGGCATTTGCGGTCTTCGAAGACAGGAGATGTCCGGCCGTCGCCGGCCTCCCCGCTCGCACGGCCCACCAAGACCATTGTTTCCAGCAACGAGATTGAAGCCCCTTTCAGCTACTGGAGGTGTGGTGCTTGCAATCTATTTCATTGTTTCGACAAGGCTGGCCAAGCTTGTCGCCGTCAATGTTGGGTCCTTCAATTCATCACGAACTTCCTGTTTCGGACGGGCCTTGCGACCGGGCCTCGAGTCAGCCCCTCAACTTCATCGCAGGTCGTTGGCGACCCGGGCATCTGGACAGCTGTAGATTGAGCTTCGACGAATTCGGACAATATCGCAGGTCACCCCTGTTCTCGGGCCTCTGCTTCCAAGTCCTGAAGCTGCCAAGAGATGACCGCAATCCCCGCACCGACGCCATCCTTGGGACGTCTGGCTCTGGCTTCCAACCCTCATGATGTCCGACTATCGATATCCCCACATCTGTTTCCTGACACTAGAACCAAGTTGGACGCTGCAAGTCGTTGAGGGTGGACTTTGAGCTGCATGTGCCGTCCGTGACCGTTCACAAGGGGCCCGACGATTCGTCGCTGCCTCGTGGGCGCAGGGTGCTGGGACCTCTCAGTCCGGAGAGACGGCAGCCAATGCTACCCAGCACACGGGACGATGCCAAACATCAGCAACGCTCACCGTACACCCCGCATTCTGGATGCGGTCTGGGGCCTCAGGGGCCTTTTCTCCTAACAATTCTCTGGGTGTTGTGTACAATTCAGGACTGTGCACATGCACAGCACATTCTTACGAAAGAGTCAGTGTGTGCGGAATTTGCGGGGGACATGCGGCATCTGTCTGTTGATATTTCCTAGTCTGGTTCTATAAGATGAGCCCGGCAGCGTGCTTGAAAGGTCGACTTGTGTCGATTGACTGGCTGGCCAGCCCTCATTCGTTTCAACTTGTGTGTTATTCTTGCCTCGATGGCAGCCATGGCTTCCCTGGACTACGAAGACAATGGCCCCAGAATTCTCATTACTACCTGGACCCTGACGGGGCTCTCTGGCGCGTTTCTTCTCGTTCGACTCGCCTGCAAGCTTCATACCAAACGTCGGCTGTGGTGGGATGACTATGTCTTGGCTTTGTCATGGGTATTCACCCCTTCCACTAGTCGTCAACTGCCATCACTAACGGCCCCTAAGGTAATGCTAGTAACATCAATTGGCCTTGTGACCTTTAGCGTATCCAAGGGGCTGGGTAAACACGTCTACGCCGTATCTCCCGCCAACTTCCCTGTCCTCGGTGTTGTCGGCAACCTGACTGGAACCTTTTCGATTCTTGCTGCCACGTGGAGTAAAAGTTCGTTTGCCTTGACGCTGCTACGCTTGATGCAGGGTCGCATGCGGATCCTCCTCTGGTTTATCATTATCACCATCAACATCTTTATGAGCCTCAACGCGGTATTTATGTGGATCCGATGCACGCCGGTCGAGAAGACGTGGAACCCCTTTGCCCCTGGGACATGTTGGCAGGAGGATATATATCCTATTTACGGCATGTTCGCGGCCGGTAAGTCACCGTTTTTCTGGTAAGAATGTTGGCTTATTGTTGTAGGCTATTCTGCCGGCATGGAGTTTATCCTCGCACTGCTACCATGGCGGGTTATCTGGAAGCTGCAGATGAAGCGCAAGGAAAAGTTTGGAGTTGCGGTGGCCATGAGCATGGGCATCTTGTAGGTTGTGCGGATCCTCGGTTTCATTTTCAGGCTGACTCTGCAGTGCTGCTTCTACGGCCGTCGTCAAAACCGTTGAGATTCCGACCCTTGCGAGTCCTGATTTTACTTGTGAGTCTTTTCATCCAAATTTCTGTTCCGACTAATTCGTTGCAGTTGTGTCGGCTCCTCTGGTACTCTGGGGCGCCGCAGAGTCAGGCGTTACGATCATGGCAGCATCTATCCCCGTACTGCGGACGTTGTTCAGAGACCTCAACACGATCAGCAGGAAGTACTACGTGTCGGAAAGCAAGAGCGGGACGCAGACTCAAAGCTCTAGGGCCGCGACCAGCCGGTATATGGAGAACACCGTGGTAATCAGCGCGGACCCGCCGCCGCCTGAGGACACGACGAGAAGCGATGGGTCTGACAGCAAGGAGAGTATCCCAGTTTGTGATTCATGTGGACAGATTTACCAGAGCACCGAAGTAATGATTGCGGTCGAGTACCGCAAGGAAGGTAGTCAGCAGCATCTGCCGCCCAATGCATTCTGAAGAGATGTTCAGGGATTTGTATAATAGTCATCATTTGTATGTAATACTATCTATGTATCAATGCGTTATGTATTCCATCGATTCCACATGATGTCACATTTCGGCGATACATGTTCCGGTTGGAGTACTCGACGGAGAGCGGAAAACCGTGAATGCGCTGCCTACTTATAGTTGAGTATCGGACCCCTTTCCAACAGCGACCAAGCTACGAGATGTGCTCAACACATCTAAATCTTCCGTAGTATAGTGGTCAGTATGTGAGCTTGTCATGTTCGACTTCGCTCGAGACCCGGGTTCAATTCCCGGCGGGAGAGAATTTTTTGCATTCCTATCACATGAATCCCTATCTTTTTTGATTCGTTCTTCGTCTCAGGGCTACGGAATACCTTTCAACTACGGGAATGTTGGGAAAAGGGATATGGAAACCACATTATCTTGAACCATTCAGTTTGCCAAATCCATCGTCGCCACTCCATTGTGACATGCCGAGAACAGCGAGTCCAATCACAAGCCAAAGCGGAGCTCGGTGAGAGGTGACCCGCTCATGTGAAGCGCTGCCCACGGGATCAACGCCCAGGCAGTCGGAGTCTGCCGAACCTTCCTCTTTTGGCCGTCACCACGGAAAGTTCAAAACAAAACTCAAAATTCTTACTTTCTTCTTTCTTGTTCTTCTGTTGTCTTTTCACACTTCAAGAATTCGAACTACCCGCGCATCTTGCCAAACAACGATAGAGCTATCAGTCAGACTGATCACCGTCCGACCCCGCCCCCACCATGAGCGCGATCCCGCAAGACCTCCCTATGGACCTACCCATCATCGACCTCGACGTCTTCCGCCAGAATCCGCAAGACGCCCCCGAGGTCCAGAACGAATGCGTCAAGGCGGCCAAGGCGTTAATCACCTACGGCGCGCTGGTGCTGCACGACTCGCGCGTCTCCGAGGACGACAACGCCACCTTCCTCGACCTGCTCGAGGACTACTTCGCGCAGCCCGCCGAGGTCCTCAAGCGCGACGAGCGGCCCGAGCTGAGCTACCAGATCGGCGTGACGCTCGAGAACACCGAGAAGCCCAAGTGTGCTGTCGACGAGCCGTGTCTGCGGGTTATCGAGCGGCTTGCGCCCGCCGAGAGGCCGCTGGATATCGGCGCGCATGATCCGGATCCGAAGTGTCGGTTCTTCTGGCGGATGGTGGAGCAGCCGCCTTATGAGACCAAGTTTCCCGGGCTGAATGCGGCGAATGTCACGCCGGAGGCGCCGGGGATTCGGGAGCGTTGGGGGAAGACTATGGACCAGTGGGGGACGAGCATGAAGAATGCGTATGTGTTGTGGCATACTGTTGTGAGCGGCTACTAATGCGGATGCAGAGTGGAGGGCTTGACTGAGATGACGGCTGTGGGTCTGGGTCTTCCGGCGGGAACGTTCAAGGATGCTGGACGATACGGGTGAGTCTTTCCTGCGAACCTTGCGACATAAAAGACTAACAACAGGAGACCGCACCTCCTCGCCCCCACGGCCTCGGACCTGGTCAAGTATGGCACCAAAGACACGATCCTGGCCGGCTTCCACACCGACCTCAACTTCCTCACCATCCACGGCCGCTCGCGCTACCCGGGCCTGCACATCTGGGCCCGCAACACGGGCAAGCGCATCCCGGTCAAGATCCCCCCGGGCAACTATTTGTTGGTGCAGGCGGGCAAGCAGCTCGAGCACCTCACCGGCGGGCTGATCAAGGCCGGGTTTCACGAGGTGGTGGTCAACGAGAAGACGGTCGAGGTGATTGAGCAGCGGAAGAGAGATTTCCCCGAGCGGCCGCTGATTCGCATCTCGTCGACATTTTTCTGGCATCTGTCGTCGGATTTTGATTTGGTCCCTATCCCGTCGCTGGTGGAGAAGGCGAGGGAGCTGAGGGCGGAGAATTTCAATCTGGGGCGGGATGAGGGGGATGAGGTTGAGTATCCGGCCATGAAGGTTGGGGAGCAGGTGCAGAGGTATGTATTCCGTCCTCGTCTGACGCTGGATGCTAACCTTTTTAGTGAGCTGAAGCATATTGCGTTGATGGCTTAGACGCCGGAGGCGGCGGGTTTCATAAGATCGTGGTGTTGGAGCGTTGGGGGGAAGGAAACACTGTGATGCCTGTCAGGATGTGTGAGTCTTGGTGTAGCTGCCGCATACCGGCACTCTATGGTGAATAGATATCACTGAGAGTACTGAGAGTTTGGGTTATGTAGATGGTGAGCGAATGAGCAGACAAGTCACTGTACGGTAACCATGATGGTTCTGCCTATGGGGGTGCTGGCTACGGTATTTGCAATTTTCCAAATAGAACTGCTTGTCTCACATATTCTACACGCAATTACCTCTCTTATTTGGATTACTGGCTTTCTGTTAAGCAGGAGGCAACGGTCGAGGGGTGTTGATGGAGCAGTTGTGGTATGTGCTGCGGACTTAGTTTGACTAAGCTCCTGTACTTTTCCGTTCTCCTTCGCAACCACTACTTGCTGACTACACTACCAAGGTACCCAGCTGGCTGTGTCATCACGCATATCGGGTCTACTTCTCGCGTCACAACAATCGTTTAGTTTGCCAACGTACCCCCGAAGACCCAGCCGTCCAACACGACAGCAACACGTATCAAGATCCCAGATTAAGACGTGACACCCCTTACGTCCATTTTTCTTTTGTATGGCTCAAATAATCACATTTTGTACTGCTCAATAAAGCCTGGTCTGTACCTATAACCTCCCCACTCGAAGAAAACCACTTCGGGTCCCATACATCATACCTCACCTCCCCGAAAACAGACCACACCGGAAGTGATGGAATCTCGAAAAAACTTACCGCCTCGGAATCTCAACCGGCGCGAAAAACTCCTTGACGTAGTCATACTTGCCCACCGGCACGCCCTTTGATCTCAAGATGGCGTAGGCGGTTGTCAGATGGAAATAGAAATTGGGCAGGCCGTGGCCGAAGATTGAGTCGCGGATCGAGACTTTGAAGGTGATGTTTGGGCCGAAGGGGCTGTTTCTTGTTTTTGGTTTGTTAGTTTTCTTTTCTCTCCCTCTTCATGTGTGGGTTTTGCTGTCTGGATGGCAGGTAGGTATGGTATCTCGGCTCGTTTGTGGTTTCTGCTCTTTGCGTGGGTAGGTAGGTGATACCATCGAGGATGGTGCTTTGTGGAACTGGACAGCCAGCACCCGGCCCACCGGAGGAGTCACTTGTACTACTTTCACCTGGACACCACCCCACCCCTAACAAAAAAATGAATAGAAAGGGGAGGGGGGAAAAAAAGAACAAAAGAAAAAAAACTGACTGATCAACGACCTCCCCAGCCCTCGCATCGATTTTACTCTTATCCACCCCCTCCAACAACTTCCTCGCCTTCTCGATCCGCCCATAAAATTCCTTGATCGTAGTCTCCGTGTCCTCCCACACGGGATACTCCTCCCCCGTCAGCCTGCCCAGCACGACGCGCACGTGCTTGGTCACGTTCTGCAACTGGAACTGCAGCGGGCGCATGTCGTCGATCAGCCGGGCGGGCAGGTATTCCGTGTCCGGGTTGATACCCTGCGTGGCGGCGTGGGCCTCGGCCACCTGCAGGACGTGGGTGAGCGTGTTGAGGCCCTTGGTGAAGGTTGTGACGACTAGGTCGGAGAGGGTTATTGTGGCCTGGTCAGACATTGTGTTTGTTGGTCTTTGGGGTGTGTAGAGCTGTAAGTGTGCGGATTCTGGGCTTTGAGAAGGTGCTTTTGTTGGGAATGGATGGATGGATGATGGCTGGTATGGGATCCGAATGGTAGAGAGACTCAGAAACAAATAGGGGGGATGTCCCGAATTTTATACATGAGTTACAAGAAAGGACGCAAAGGCAAATGTTTCACGACATGTAAACACGGAAAACGAGACGCAATCACTGGTCCCGGTGGCGACAGTTTAGCCTGCTCCGATGAGCTCCGAAAGCGGGGATAATAAGCCATAGTCTGGCGGGTCGACCCTGCCGCCGTCTTACCGCTGGCGATGCCGCGTTTAGTCGCAGTGTCGGTTGCGACGCCGGCGCCGGTGCGGCATTTCGTCATCTGCCGCGGCGATTGGCAAAGAACTCGATGCCTAAATCGGACAACATGCTCTCCTGGTTCTACCACGTGCAATGCATAGTCCGGTACCCATCATATCAATATCCTCATAATTATGTACAATGAATCAAGAATACGTCGCTAAATCAACATTAAACGGGTTTGGTAAGAAGGGGAAAAAAAAAACCCCAGGGCTTAGGCCGGAATGCTGGGCCCAAGAGAGTTATACACAGCACAACGGGCGCCGCGACCACCCTCCCAGGTATCCGCCGCCGCAAGCGTGAATGCATTCCGCAGTCCGGGCTGCTCGAACTCCGTCACCGTAGCGCCCCACGTCGTGACCATCGAGTAGGGCGTGCCGCCGGTCTGGTTGAGGTTGAGCAGCTTCGGCGAGCTCGGGTTCCAGGTCGGCCACGCCGATGCCGGGTTGGCCGCGCTGGGGTTCGGCGAGCTGGCCCCGTTGGCAATGGCGTTGCTGATCGACGGGTTGCCGGTCGTCACGAAGTTGCCCCAGATGCGCCGGAAGGCCAGGGCGAAGTCGTCTCCCATGTACTGCGGAGTCGGGCCGAAATAGCCCGCCACGTCGGCGCCGTGCGAGGCAAACGGCACCGAGTACTGGTAGTGGTAGGCTGCGTCGGAGCCCGACGAGTACGCCGTCGCCATCCAGTACGACGGGCATACGAAGACGGCCTCGGCGTAGATGTTGTTGCCGCGCTGCTGCTGGCCGTTGGCGCTCTGCGACACGTTGACCGCCGTGGCGTAGCCGGTGCTGATGCCGTTCGTCTCGAAGTGCGGGCCGCTGGGGTTTGTCGGCAAGTTGTTGGGATTGGCAGCCAGGATCGAGTTGATCTGGGCCGTCGACAGGTTGGGGAACTCCACGCTCAGCCAGCCGCGGAGATCGGTCTCGGTCGTGATGTTGGGCGGGACGAAGAGCGGGCCCTCGTTGGCGTTGTTGCCGACGAGCAGCTTCTTGCCGTTGACCTTCTTCGCGTTGAGCTGCTTGATGGCGCGGTCCGTGATGTAGACATTGTCAGTGACGGGGTAGAAAGCCCTGTATGAAGTTAGCGTGGGGATGGGATAGGGAGGGGAAAACACCTACCAGTAGCCGTAGGGCTGGGCTTGGGTGACAGCATAGTTGGCCTGCTGCAGTGTGTTGGTGTCCTTGCCGACAAGGCAGGAAAAGACATTGCCGCTGCTCGGGCAGCCAGCAGCCTGCGAGAAGGCATAGTACGTGCTGGTTGGGA